GAATATCAAAAATAAAATACGGACAAAAATGAAACTCAAACCCACTAACCGGATCGAAACGACGAAGAACTTGAACAAAAACAAACTGTCCGGAAACGATTATCGTGCCAAAATAGCTTGACGCCGAAGACGACCATGAATGGACGACCAAAGAAGCTGGTCGTTTGGTATCTTTCGAAAACGAGGCAGTGGCAGCCCGTCAAAGAAGATGGACGAAGCAGAAGGCTACAGAACCCCGGAGCAACAGCGGTTGCTGCTGCTGCGTCACCTGGAGGTCGACTGGGCAGTTATGGAGATGAAGGAGCAGCTAGGAAACGCCTGGTATGGCGCTGCTACTACTGGACCTGGGGACTCGACGTGGCAGGTTGTTTCGAGACAAAAACGAAGGTCGCCGGATTTAATGAGGGGGTTGANAACCGAACAACTCAATAGAACAAACCCAAAAGTTTGTAAGCAAACTAAACAGCAACAACCCCCGTGTGTATTAAACCCGAAACTAAACATGTTTCTCACTTTGTTTTTGTTTTCTCTTTTTAAACTCTCCAACACTCTCTTAGGATTTTTAGAATGTCTTCTTCTCTCCAAAAATAAACCTCTCTAATGTTGAAGTCCTTTTTNTGGCTGGAGCTCGGAGATGGCAGTGGTGAGCGGAGGCAGCCATGGGAGCTCGAGCTCGAGCTTGACGGAGACGAAGAAGATGAAGTCAGAAGCAGCTGGGTCTGTTTGGATGTAGCAGAAGCAACAAAACGCAGCAGCCATGGGAGCTTGATGAGCTCGTCAATGGCGGATGTTGTTCGTCGATGAAGACGAAACTTGGGGTAGCAGCTGGTCGAAGAAGAAGATGCACAGTAATGGGGGTCATTTGCTCTTTAATGGCGGACGAGGGAGGGGCTATTTGGAGTGAGTTTGAGGGTGAGCAGCCATGGATGGTCTTGGAAGCTTGGAGAAGAAGAGGGAAAGAGAGAGGGGGGCGGATGAGTTTTTTAGGGTTTTTTCTTGTTTTGTTTTTGTGAAATGTAAGATAGGGAGATGGGGTGTTGGGTATTTGGGTTATGGGGCGGACCGGGTCGACCCGTGTTGAAATGGACCGGGTCATGGGGAAGGTTGGGTATTTTTTGGGCTTGTGGCTTGAATTTGAAGAAGAGCCCAATTCCGGTTTTCTTTATATTTTTGCTCTCTTTTCTTCTTTTATTTTTCTAAAACTAAATTCTAAAAATCCTCAAATTATTAATAAGTTATAAAAGCGCAAATTAACTCCCGATAACAATTAACGCACAATTAAGTAATAATTAAGCATAAAATTGTACATATGGACATTAAATGCTAAAAATGCAAAAGATGCCTATTTTTTTGTAATTTTCAATTTTTGTAAAACAAACTTAATTACTAACAATTGTAGAATTAAATCCTACATGCAAAATGCGACATATTTTTGTATTTTTATTAATTTAACAAATAAATATGCACAGACAAATACAAATAATTATCCAAAAATGTCACAAAAATTCTCAAAATTGCACCGCAAGGAAAATCATTTTATTTTGAATTTTTGGGAGTAATTCTTTCATAGAGCAAAAATCACGTGCTTACAAGTTCCCAGGGCTAAATACCCTCAAATCCAAGTTTAGAAATATTACATACCTCAAAACGCGCAAATCAATACTCCAAAAAGCCTTTCCTACGCGTATCAGCATCCGAACGACTCGAATCTAGTCGCAAACAACTTAATACCATCAATAATAGCTATAGGAAATAGTTCCAAAAGATAAAGCTAAGGTCTTGAATCAAATATGCAAAGTCAACCCAAAAAGTCAATTTTGGGCCCACACATCGGAACCCAACAGAATTTACAAATTCAGAACACCCATTCAATTACGAGTCTAACTATACCAACTTCATCCAATTCCAACATATATCGACCCCAAATCACCAAATCTCACTCTTCAATAACATAGTCTAAAATCCTCAAATTTCACTTCAAATACACATAAACTAAGTGTAATAATCAATGGGTAATCAATATATATCATCAAAATTGAATGAATTTCACTTACCTCTTCAATTATGGTGAAAAACAATCCAAATTTCGCCCTAGACCGAGCTCCAAAATCTCGAAAATGAGAAGAAAAGATCAAACCCTCGATTTATAATACTGTCCAGCATTTTCGCTTCTGCGGTCCAAGCGATCGCACTTGTGACGCCGCACCTGCAGAAATATCATCGCATGTGCAGAAATTCATTAACTCTCCGCCTATGCGCACCTGCGGTCTTTAATCTGCATATGCGGAACCGCCTCTGAGGTCTCTACCTTGCTCCTGTGCATCCGCATATGCGGAACTCGTCCGCATCTGCGACTCAAGGTCACCCAGCCAAAATCCGCTCCTGTGGACTATCCTGTGCATCCACGTTTCCGCAAATGCAGCTCCCCGTCCGCATCTACGACTACTGCCAAGCCCAGATTTCTCCGCTTCTGCGACACATCTGCCACTTCTGCAGCTTCTCACCTGCGGCCAAGACCTCGCAGATGCGATCACACCAGAAGCCATAACTTCAGCAATACACCAAGTCAAAAAACTAATCCGAATTCAATCTGAATCTCACCCGAGGTCCCCGGGACCCCCATCCATACCAAACATACCAAAGAGTCCTAAAACACGATACGAACTTACTCGAACCCTTTAATCACATCCAACAACACCAAAAACACAAATCATGCACATCAATTCAAGCCTAATGAAACTAATAAACTTCCAACTTCTAAAACCAATGGCGAACCATGTCAAATCAACTCCGAATGACCTCAAATTTTGCACACTAGTTCCAAATGACGCAACAGACCTATTCTAACTCCCGGAACCGAAATCCGAACCCGATATCAACAAAGTCAACACTCGATCAAACCTCTGAACCTCCACGCATTCAACTTTCCACCTTTCGCCAAAAATCATCAGATCAACCAACGGGCCTCCAAATCAACATCCGGACATATGCCTAAATCTAAAATAACCATGCGAAGCTATCAGAACCATCAAAACTCATTCCAAAGTTGTTTACACAAAAGTCAAACTTCGGTCAACTCTTTCAACTTAAGCTCTAACTTAAGTGTTCTAATTCACTCCGAATCAACCCCGAAACCAAATCAACCACCCTGGTAAGTCACACAACCACAAATAAATATAGAAGAGATAATAATTAGGGAAACAGGGCTACAATACACAAAATGACTGGTCGGGTCGTTACAACACAATTCCCCCAAAAGTCAAAAAAAGTCAACCTTGGCCCTGCTCGGTCAAAATCTGAGTCCAAGGATAGATCTTGATTACCCATAACCCCACGAGTCCATATATATGTTCAAATCCGAGTCCAATTCGAGTCTCAAATCCCAAATTTTATTTTTCAAAACATTGACAAAAATTTTCTTAGAAATTCGTGAATTTAATATTAAATCTAATAAATAATCATGTAATATAATTGAAGATGGATCAAAGTTACTTACTCAATAGTTTGGTATGAAAATATATCCACAAAATCATCTCCCACCGAATCTAGGGCTCGAAATATGACAAAATAAAGTTAAGTCCCGAAATACATAGCTATAAATAAGCTGCAGATGTCGTATTTGTGACCTTGCACCCCACAAATGCAGAGAAACGATCGCAAAAGAGACCACTGGCCATCATTAAAGAGATCGTAAAAGCAACAAAAAGTTCTCAAAAGCGAACCTGGCAGATACCGCGAATGCGAGAAAAAGGTCGCAAATGCTGCCTGCCCAGCCACTAGCTCCCATCGCAAAAGCGATCTCTAAGTTTGCAAATGCGAACACAACAATTCCACCCCAACCTCGCAAATGTGGAGCCCTCCTTGCAAATGCAAACTAAATCTCGCATTTGCGAGACCTGAAGCACCAGCCTAAAAACCAGCAAAATTGAAACTCTTTTAAACACTCTGAAACTCGTCTGAGCCCTCGGGGTTCCACACAAAACATCCACACAAGCCTAAAATATCATACGAACTCGCTCATCGATCATAACACCAATATAACATCCCAAACTACAAATCGGACATCAAAACACATGAAATTCCACAAAAAACTCAACAACCTCTAGAATCACAATCAAGCATCTGAATCCTATCAAACCAACTCAGAATGACACCAAATTTTGCATACAAGTTCCAAATAGCAAAACAGATCTATTCCAAGTCCCAAAACCAAAATCCGAACCCTAAAGCAATAAAGTCAAATCATCGTCAAACTTAGGAAAATTCTAAACATTTAAATTGTCAACTTTCGGCAAAACAAGTCAAATCAACATAGGGACCTCCGAATTCAATTTCGGACAAAAGTTCGAGATCAAATACGCAAAAGTCAAGCTTGGTCAACTCTTCTAACTTAAAGCTTCTAAAATGAGAATCATTCTTCCAAATAAATCCCGAATCGCTCGAAAACTGAAACTAACCATACACGCAAGTCAAATATACATAATATGAAGCTACCTGAGACCTTAAACTACCAAATAAAGTGTAAATATTCAAAATAACGAGCAGGGTCGTTATAGATAAATAGTTTAAGCTTAATGAGTATAAAGTGAAATTTTCTCAATAAAAATGACCTAGACGTGGTTAATTGATTGATTGTGAGTAAATAGGATTCTTGTTAATGTCATTATTCAAAGAAAGATGCTTAAATTACTATTCATCCCGTCCACTTTAATTAATTTTTTGGCTATTTTCAAACATATTAAGGAATCTACCTTTTAGTATTAATTAACAATAAAATTGATCATATTACCCTTAATTTGTTCGTTGAAAATCTAACAAATACTCCTATGTTCTTTATTCCAAGTACAACTTTGGAACAAAAAGTTTAATTCCTTTTTGGTATCTGAAAAAATTAAATAATGTGGATCACAAAAAAAATCAAAATATCAATTAAAGTGGACCCTACTAATACTATGTATTCAACCATCGAGGATTATTACAGAAAAAATTGGATATAGTGACTATGATATCTCTGCGTAGCGGGAATATGTGAGAAATCGACTCAATGCAGGGACTTTTAAGGTAAAATATTCATCTCTTTTCTTGATTCTTTTCATCTTATTACTGTTTTACATTTGGAGGAGGGTAAAAACTTACCCATTATCGCTAATTAAAAACTTATAGTTATATATGAAATCTGCACCCATTATCTAAAAGTAGTTGTAATTGTAGCAGTAGTTTGCACTAAAGATTAAAAGCTTTGAATGATTTGTGGGTTTTTCCTTAAAACTGATGTAGGTCCAAAGAATTGAAGTAAAACCCAGAAAAGCTGTCCCATCCGAAAAAACCCTGGAAAGCTAGTACTCACAAACTCTTTTTTTCATAAGCATTTATAGATTATTATACCTCAGATTTCCCATGCTTTTTTTTTTTGACTAATTTTAAAGTTGGTGTATTGATTTAAGGGATTCTGAATTGAAGCAAATTGGAAATTCATGCCTCCCGGAGCTTAAACTATACTTTATCTCAAATTTTCATTTGTCTCGGGGGTGATATTGCGATGAAAAACCAAAGTACTAACTTTAGGAACTAAAGTTTAAAACCTGGTAGAGTCGACACTAGGTAAATACTTAGTGTTTGGACATAGATTTTATTGAAACTTGAAAAAAAAGTTTTTTGAAATTGTGTTGAAAAATAATTTTTGAAAGTTAAGTTGTATTTGGACAACAACAAACACAACAACAACGACCCAGTATAATCCCACAAGTGGGGTCTGGGGAGGGTAATATGTACGCAGACCTTACCCCTACCCCGAAGGGTAGAGAGGCTGTTTCCAGGAGACCCTCGGCTCAAAAAAGCAATAGGAGATGATATATTAGTACCATAAAAATGCGTAATAAAAATAACAACAATATATAAGAGATATGGAATATGAAATACAGGATACGAAATACGAAATAGATGGCTGGTATAGTACAACTAGAAGGTAAAGCCCTGCATCCATAGACGACCAATGACATTCCTAGTCTAACTCCTAACTAGATAGTCTCCCTCTATTGTGCATTTTATTTGAAGAAAAGTTTGAAGTTTTGTGAGCGGAAGAAAAATTTTCCCCCAAAAACTGCTCTAAACCAGAGAACTTGAAAATTTTTGCATTTTTTTTCCAAAACCTGATCCTATTTCATAAACAAACAATGTTTTCAAATTTTTTTGAAAAAATGAAGCTAAAATCTATGGTCAAACGGAAGCTTAACATTTGTTAAAGTTCTAGATTAGTTGAGGTGCGTGTAAGTTGGCATTGTTACCACTATTACCTAATAAAAGAAAAAAAAAAGAAAAGAAATTTACAAGCAATATTCAGTTCTTATTGAGCACTAGCTTAGGAGCAAACTTCATGCGGCCACCTCTAATCTCTATGGAGAAAAGCATAAATACAAAAATTGATGAGTGTACTTCATTGTTTATCATTGACTAATGATACTTACCTTTTAGAATATATATAGTGGGAACTTAAAAGAGCAAGAGCATAATTGTTAAAAACAAAAACAAAGCAAATTATGGTAAGACATGCTGCAATTTTCATGCCTACACCTTTCTTTTAATGATATCCTTTTATCTTTTTCCTTTAACATTCCTTTTCTTTTTATCCACTTTGCCAGCTTTTATGGATCTGAATTTTCTCAACAATATCTCATGACAGCTAATAATAAACTTATAATAACTATTCTGGATGCTTGCATTAGTTTATCAGTTTGCCACGAAATTCAAGAGGACTGCTTACATTTTGGTTTACTTGTTACTTCAACAATCAATTTTGTGAGAATCAACTAAAACGAATGGGATATTATTTATGATTGATTATTTAGTCACTCCACTTGTATTATAAAACGATGTTTGTTAATAGCATCAAGAATGCTAGTGATGGTTAAATCCAAGATATGGATTTTTGTTGAGAGAAGTTGTAATTCTAAGACACTCTTTTAACAAAGTTCTTTTTATTTCCTTTCAGTTCACAGTAATTTTTTTATGTTATACGCATTTAATAAAATCTTCCTTTCCGGTTGCGCAATGGTTGAATAACTTGGAACCTGTCTCCCTCCTTGCTGAAAAATAGAAGACCACAGTACAAGTTTTAATGGCTCTAGAACTCAGGTGGAGCTGAAATTCCAAATGCTAAATGTGTTAAGATACACACAACATCGGCAAACATTATGCTTTTTGTTGCAAAAGCTATGTGTCGTACTTTCTCCTGTATCCATATGTCCTTAATACTTTTTGGATGGAGTCCTCTTTTTTGTTTGATCTGGATAATTCCATTCGAAGTGGTCAGCTGCTGATATCAATTTCAGGAACTGCCTGCCGATGTGGTCCAAAGGTGACGCGATTTTAGCACTCATTGGAAGGCAGATAAATTCCATGCCATTCTTGATAAAAATAGGAAAGTTGGATTGTTCATTTTTATGAAAGAAAAGCAAAGTCAGCTATCACCTGTTTCAAGTGACAAAAGGGTAATCGTGCTGATTAGAAGATTTATTCTATCTTATGGAGACTAGACAGGTAGAAAATTCCATATGTTTTCTCCCGAAGGAGTTTCACTTAAATCATGAGATTGATCATAGTCAAGGAAGGAAGATAAAGATGACCGGTTATTGCTCACAGGGCCTCTTGGAAAGTATTAATGAGGAATCATTAGAATTCATTCTGGCGGAGGAACTGAACTAAGGATCTGCTCTTCCATGGTTAACATCTGCAGCAGCTCAAGGCTTCATATTCCAAGCTTTTGTATTCTACTTAAATACGTAAACAGAATGGAAGTGGTTACTCAATATTCAATTAGCTGAAGAAGGTGATGATTTCACACTATTTGGAGTCTTCTCCATTAATTATGTGCAAGGCAATGCACCTTATTTGATTTGAGTTTGTAGTTTACTACCATAATCTGTGATATTAGTGTGCTATTTTTTATTTTGTTTTATATTTTTTCCTAACTTGAGGGAGTTGGGATCTTAGTAACTGCTAGATTTTGTTTGGTCCCCAGGTCCCTTGGCTTTATGAATTTAAAAAGCTTATTGCAAGGATCAATCACTGGCTTTTTTAACGAAGATATGCATTTGAGATTTCAATTGTCCTGTTGAGGATTTGTGTGCATGGGAATATGGCCAGCTCTAGCTGTTGTAGAAGGTATGCTGCTTATCTGCTAATGTCTGTGATGATGTCCATCTCATTGAAGAAGTATTAGGCATGTGCCTAATAAGAGTTTTCTTTGGTTTGGTAGCCAACCTTGTTGACTTGGTTTGGTTGGTAGCCAACCTTGTTGAATTAGTTTGGTTTGGTAGCCAACCTTGTTGAATTTCTTTGGTTTGGTAGCCAACTTTGTTGAATTGTGAAAAGTGTGTGTAAATTGTCAAATATTGTAGGCTTTAGAGGGTGAAGCTTTGGCTATAAAAGGAGAGCTTCAACTCTCATTTCTACACACCAACAAAGAGAGAAAGAAAGAGTAAGGTTTCACAGACAAGGTATAAGAAAATAGTCTGTGAGGAAAATAGAGAGAGAGCGATATTGTAGTGAGGTGGGAATATCAAAAGAGGGTTATTTCTTTTGAGTGTTGTAGTGGTCTTTGGAGTATTTACCTCCGACCTACAAAGTTGTAAAATTCCTTACTATAGTGATATCAGTTGCTCCTCTCGGGGTCGTGGTTTTTTCCCTTATTCAGAAGGGTTTTCCACGTAAAAATTTTGGTGTCATTGTTACTCTTTTATTCTTGTTAATTACCGTATCTCGGTGCTACATTATTATTCCGCTTTATTACCGTGAATATTATTTTGGTAAGGGGTTTATTCCCAACAGTCTGCGGTTTGGTGATATTCTTGAAGTGGAGTCTTAGTCTCTTAGTTGCTGAGGTTGGCGAACACTGACTTTCTTCACTATGTTATAAACACGTGTGCTTTTGCTGGCTTCACGACTTAAATCTCAAAAAGAAGAACAAGAAAACTACTGAAAGAATACACATCAATTTCCCCTTTTTCAAGGTCTATCTTCAAAGTTATAAGTCTCTATTTAACTTTTAAGAGCTTGTGGTCAGAGGAATTCACCACTAGCCGTTTGGGTGTGGTCTTAACCATACTTTACGGGGAAAATGTGTTGTTGATGAAAAGTGATTCCTATGTGTGGGCTAATGATGATTTGATTGTTATAAAGGTTGTGAACAAAACGATAAAGAGTTCACTTCAGATATACACTTATCAGTTTGCACTCTATAACCAGATCCTGAATGCATGATGACAATGTGTGTTTTCGCATGATGTATGTTTTTTACCACTTGATGTGACGGTGTTTACGTACCCCTAGCTACCAAAATGTCAAAAGCCAGTGTGATTAATGATGAAGGGGGACATAATGCGAAATATCATTTAGAAGTTCTTGAAATATACAGATTCTAAATTGCTTATAACCTAACTGCATAAACCATATGTGTGAGTTTCATTTATGCTTTTCCTAGACTAACTTCGGAGGTCCCCTACCGGGCTTATTCACCTAACTTTTTTTTCTGTTATTTTGCGCTGGTTTCAAAACATCTGTCAAAATGTTTTACTTTGTTAAATTCTTCAAAGGTTTATGATTCTTTTTATGGTTGCAAAGTTTCCTGTGTTCTTTTCTTTTGGTCGCATAACCGATAGAACATTCTGAGTAGTAAAACCTTGTGCTTTAGGTCGTCATTGGTATTGTCCGGAATGTTGATTTATCTGTAGAGTACTCATTTCAGTTAGACTCATATAAGCTGACAGTTCTGTGCAAAAGGAAGTGCCTTTTCATACCTTACTATAGAAATTCTTACTATTAAAAATAATTCAATACCAGCTCACACAGTAATCCTACTAAAAAGAAAGAAATTCTATACTCTTATAATGCATTAAGAATATGCAATCATTCTATATATGGTGTAATAGGGGTCAGCAAAACTATGCCAGCCACACAAAAGAAAACACCAAAAATATAAATATAGGTAATAGTCTTACTATACTAGCATTGATCATGATCTCCCTGAATTCTGTTGCTCGATGGTTTACCGACTTGTAAACAATCAATTGGAGGTAGAGTAGGAGTATACAACTCTCCGAATGTCTGCCAACAATATGGATCATACATGTGGTAACGCTCTTGTATTGGCTTTAGTTGGATATCCGTCAAGGTCACGTCTTGACATGGCATACTGTCACTGCATGCTAGATGCACTGGTTTTACTGTATATGTTCCTCTAATTCTTTCAAAGTTGATTCCTGATAAAGCCACTGCAGATGTCTGGTTCTTACATTTGCTCTTGTCGCAATAGAATTGATCAATTACAATTGGTAGTTGGACTTCTGAAACTTGAATGTTCGAGAAAAACACTCCTTGTACTGACCCTGACCCTCCCTGCAGTAGTAGAATCGAACATTAGTTTTGGTTATAGAGAACACTTGAACTCTAATTCCTCAAATCTGATTCGTAGCAATATGTAGTCCAGAAGTAAAAATGTTTTACTGGATGTTAAGACAACTAAACATTTGCCTGACCATACCTGCCATGTCTTAATCCTGACACCATTCATTGTGTTTTGCATAACAACATCTTTGACCGTAATGTTTGAAACACAAGCCTTTGTGTTGTCTTTCCCCAGACTTCCAATGCTGATTCCATGTCCTGGTCCACAATTTATGTTGTGTACATACACATTGGTGCATCCAGTTTGTATGGAGACACAGTCATCTCCTGTACGAAACCAAAAAAGTTTGTCGGTGAGTATATTTAGCATGTACTAACATTTAAATTAAAGGACAAATATGTGGTTAGCTCTTTTGATGTTCAAATTGTCTATGCTATCATAAAGTTTTCATATAGGTTTGCATCTTTTTTTGAGCAGTTTTGGCATCTACAGATAATGCAATAGGACTGAAATAAATGACAAAGATGCAATAGAACTGAAATAATTGACAAAAGACAAATTTCCTATGTGTGGGGTTACAAGTCTCACCCTATATTGAACTTGTACTTTTACTATCTAGACAAGATCAGTTTTTGCAGGTAAGGGTCTTAAAGCTTGTGGTGCTCAAAGCATAAATAACAGATAGGCAGTTGCTAGGTGTTGAAATGTTAGCGGTTAAAATTCAAGAATGTGGTCCTTATGGAATTATCAAAGTGGACAATATTCTGGCATCTTCTCTCATTTATCAGTTATGTTAGTTGTAAAACTTTTCACTCAATGGTGAGAGAATTCTTTTACACATAGGGGTCTTAATTTTTGAAGAAATAGTTGCCTCAAGCCTTTTGGACTGGTTTGTAGTATTTAGTTGAACTAAATTCAATGTAGGAATTACCACACGCAATGTTGGAACTGCGGATTAGCACGTCTTTGGAGTTCTGTAAATGGATTCCATCTGTATTAGGACTATCACCAGGAGATGAGACAGTGAAATTGTATACTGTTACCCCTATGCAGTTGTCAAATTTGAGATGGCATTGTTGACTATTCTGAATTGTGATGCCTGTTACAGTAACATTAAAACTCCCATAGAATCGAAGTGCCTGCATTTTAAACATTGATTTAGTATCAAATGAGCACTTAAATGGCCAAGTTATGCAGCTCAGAATTTGAAGTGGTCCTTACCGTTGGCTTAATGCTTGGCATTTTTCCACCACCAAGTGAGCTATTTAGCTGCCACACAAATTTTGGAAAGAGTATTAGAAAGGAACAGAGATGGTAAACTCTGTTTAATGGATAAGAAATTGTGAGATAATTACAGGAATTGGAGGATATCTCAATGATGTCTTGTTTAATGGGATGATTAGTTTTAGTTCATCATCTAGAGGATCATCATATGGGGTATCTTGCCACCAAACTGAACCTCTCCCATCAATTACCCCGCTTCCTTTAACTGTAATCCCAACCAATTTGGTAAATTCAAGCCATTGCATAAGACCTGAACCCCAAGATTTGGCATCTACTGGAGCAATTATTGTTCCGTCAAGCTGCAAAACAGAGCATTTTCATCACTATTGCTGCAAATTTAATATACAAAGTCCCTAATCCGCAATTTTAAAACTGAAACACATAATGGTTCTTGAATGCTGCCTAATGTATTTTAATTACTATCAAAATTATGATTCGAAATAGTGTAATTCTTGAGGACAGAGGATAGGGGCAACTTTGTATATGCATTTGCAAAAGAGGACAGAGTTATAGACCTTTTGATAGCCTGCAGTTTTAGACTATATTATATGGACTTGTTCACAGACATGTATGCAATTATGAGCAGTTTATTTTTTTTATTTTTTATTTTAAATAATCTGTTGTGTATTTGTAATATGTCAAGGTAGACTAAAGATCTAAGTAAGATAGGTTTTTGCATATATGCTGATAATCTGTATCTTTACTAACCTGAAAAACAATGTTGTGCTGACAGTATGGACCTGAGAATGAAATTGGTCCGACAAGGAATACATATTGTGACGGAACGACAAACGTCGAAGCTTCCACTTTACAAGCAGCTGCCCATGCAGCTTGAAATGCCTGTGGTTACAACACAAGAATTAAATATTTCATGGTTAGTAATGTAAATATATGCATTTTTACCTTATTTTCATGTTTCTCTTGATTTTGGTTACTTGTTATAAATTTTTTCATAACATATTCAGTTGTAATTTAGTGTGAACTACCACTAACGAGAATCATTTGAGTGGGAGCCACCTCATTTCTCAATGACTCTGCCTGCAATATTGTCTTATCTTATTTGTAGTACTATATATAAAGATTGTTCAATAGTGTAATAAAGCAAGGAATTGTCACAGTTACCTACCTTTTTGTCCCGTAAACATGAAATTATTTATGTGAATTCCCAGGACTCTTTTCATCAACTTTATTTACAATGTCTAATTGGTGACCCGTCAGACCCTCTTATTGAACAGAGGAAACTTTTTCTTTCTTGAACGTGATAAAGAACAACTAATAAGTGCCAATTTGCAGCCTCTACGAGCTGACATTTCGGCAATTGAGCTCCAATCCAATGGGAATTGCAAAAAATTTAGCCTATAGTTTGCTAAATTGGATTGTGGTAGGGAGCCAATTCTAGGCCTCTAAGTAGAAACCAAAGTATTCATGACTGTAACTGACAATTGCCTAATACTGGATTAATTTCAGGTATAGTCACGGGACTTTATCCACTATAACAGGAAAGCCACTACATTTGGTGC